TAAGACATTATAAACAAAAGCAACTTAGGGATGAAAGAGTTTATTTGACTTATATATCTAGGTCACAGTCCATTAAGGAAAGCCAAGGTAGGAACTGAAGCATCGGCCGTGGAGGAACACTTCTTACTGGCTTGCTCCTTCTGACTTGCTCAGTTTGTTTTCTTACATACTCCAGGAGCACCTGCTTTGGGATTAGCACCACCCACAATTGACTGGGTCCTCCCACATCAACCATTGATCAGGAAAATATTCCACAGGCTTGCCTATAGTTAGATTTTATGAAGGCATTTTTTTTTTCATTTGAGGTTCCTTCCTCTCAGATGATTCTAGCTTGAGTCAAGTTGACATAAAACTAGCCAGCATAGTAGCTATTGAGTCCAGAAGGATTTATAGTTGTGTATGATAAATAATGAGTTAAGTAATTTTCTAGAAATGACCAATCTTATAGTTGATATCTGGCAGAAATGACTTTTTTTTTATAGTAAGATAGAAGTGAAAGAAGTTAGAAACCACCTTGGCAGTTTGCATCTAACATTTAATCAGAGGAGTGGAAATGGATTAGATGAATCTCATGAGGCTTCTAATCTCACAAATAGAAGCAAGTTATTACAATAGTTTAAAAGACATAGTTACATACAGACAGTTTTTCATGACAATCTTGAGTTTCAGAATACTGTTTCTTTCTCTCTAGCTCTTGTGCCTTATGACTTATCTATTGGAAATACTTGCTTTTTAAAGATCAACAGTAAGAGAGAAAGTGAATTTTTCTTACTAAAAATTAAAATTCCAGAGCAGAAGTAATGCAGCTACTTTATTCTTTTTAAACATACTGAGAAACTTGGGACTGGAGAGATGGTCCAGCAGGTGAGAGCTCATACAGCTCTTGCAGAGGTCCTTGTGGGACACTTTCTTATGGATTCTATGGGTACCTATACTCACACATGCACAGACACACAAAATACATATAATTAAAAATAAAATAAAACAAATCTTTAAAAATATTAGGTATTGCACCATTTTAAAAAGTGTTATGGAATATATAAAATACAAAAATTCACTCAGCATTAAAAATGAATCATTAAGCAGTTTGAAGTAGAAAACGTCGTATATGCTTTTATCACTGATATCTGTGAGTGAAATGGAATATAGTTGTGATCACAGTACAATCAATGAGGTAAACAGAATGCAAGATTGACTTGGAATTCTATCTATCATCTATCTATCTATCTATCTATCTATCTATCTATCTATCTATCTATCTATCTATCTATCATTAATATCTATCTATCTATCTATCTATCTATCTATCTATCTATCTATCTATCTATCTATCTATCTATCTGTCAATCACAATCCATCCATCCATCCATCCATCCATCCATCCATCCATCCATCCATCTATCTATCTATCTATCTATCTATCTATCTGGTTTTTCGAGACATCGTTTCTCTGTGTAGCCCTGGCTGTCCTGGAACTCTCTCTGTAAACCAGACTGGCCTTGAACTCACAGAGATCTACCTGCCTCTGCCTCCCAAGTGCTGAGATTAAAGGCATGTGCCACCACTGCCTGGCTTGAAATTAGAATTTAATCTGTGGACATGTGACTGATTTTTAAATCTCCATTTATATTAAAATAGAAACTTTAAAAAGTGAAATCATTTTAGAAAAAATAGTTTTATTTTTCTAATTTTCTTTAAAAAAATTTAGTAGTTAGGAATTTGCTTTAGACTCTCTTTCTGGAAAAGAGGAATTTTGTGTCCAGTGGTCAGTGTTCCTAAGGAAATGCCACATTCTTTCCTTTGAAAACGTCTCTTGTTACTTGGTGCTGAGCCTTTTTGTTTGCTCAGGAGCAGATGCTGTGGCAGGTGAGAGTCCTCTCGCGCTGTTCTGAGTCAGTTCCCGGGTATCCAGAGGTTCACATGGCCTCTGCACTTTTCTCAACAGTCTCCTTCACACCCCTGTGTCTTCTCTCCCTTTCTGCCCTTCCGGCAGCTCCTTTCAGCATTTCTTTAGCCTGTCCACGTTCAGTTATTCATACCCTCTCAGCTTGATGGTTTTACTCTCTTTATCCATTAAGATAAAAGAAATTTTACACAATCCTTTTCCAAGATTTTTCTAAAAACTTTTCCTACAGCTATTTGAAGAACATTTTTAGACACCTTTCAAAGTTTCAGTATAATTTAAAAATGGGGAAAAATCTTTCAGAATTCTAGTGGAACTACTTGTGATGTGGTATCTATGATTTGTCTAGGTTACTGTCTCTCATTGGCACTGCCAACTTTCAACCGAGTATTGTTTTAACTGATTAGAAGTATTTCACATGAAATTTAGGCCAGGCATGATAGCACAGTGGTTGTAGGCCCTCAGGACTGGTGGAGTCTAGTCATTAAAGACCAAACTGGGGAACAGAAAGTATCCACATTATTAATGTCAAGAGCACCAGCTTCTGCTCATAGGCTTTATTAGTGAATGTAGGATATGACTGCTCATTGTAACCAAGCCTTCACGGGTACAGGCTGGTGTCCAGTGCCACCCGGGTTAAAGACACCCCCATTTTTTCTCTGCAGTGGGTTGCACCTGCATTTCATGGTTCCCCCTCTTTGCCCATATTAGCAATCTGCTTTTGTACTTTGACATCTAGGAATTCCCTAGTGAATTTTGTCACAGAAAAAAGAGAATCATCAATATCGCAGTTAAACTTGACTTTCAAAGCTAATAGTATCTCATTTGGGGGCTTAAATTTAATAAATTTTCTTTGATTCTGGGTGAGTTTTTAAACATCAAACAATGAATTGGCCAGGGTGCAGTAAAATATTTAGATCTATTGACTATGGTTCAGAAGGGTAGAAGGCAAAACACTAGTGGTTTGATGTTGATAAATTCTCAGTACCTTAATCCACATTAATGTTTTCTTTTATCTGAGTGATCGCTGGTGACAAACAGGGAAGAGAGAAAGTGTCCATACAAAGAAATGTACAACCTGAAGCAATTATATTTGTAAAATATAGTTTATTGTGTCATGCTAAGTAAGTTCGGTAGCCTTTTCATCCTGACACATTGTGAATTAGAACTCCAGGGAGCAGGTAATATCCACACTTCTGTGAGACATTACCCGCCATGTTTGCAGCATACCCTCTGACATTCTCTTAGTGATAGAAAATCTTGGGACTATCTTGGAACTCTTCATTTTACCTATATATTAGCATGGACAATTAAAAATGTATTTGCCTGTTTATGGGTGTTTTCTGGCTTAAGAAAAAACCTATGGAATATGGCAATCTGGGAGATGTTTATATTTCTCATCTAACTGATTTATATGGTAATAAATAATTCTAACAGTTTTACAAGTTGCCCAAGTAGACTAGAAAAATGGAGAGTTTATTTATTTCATTGATTGATTGATTGATTGAATCAGGGTATCTCTGTACAGTTCAGGCTGACCTTCACCTTGATATGTAGCCCAGGCTGGCCTGGAACTTGTGATTCTCTCGCCTCAGCCTCGGTGTACTGAGATTACAGGCATGAACTACAATGTTATAGCCAATATTGTTCAAATAAAATAAGATATATAAATGTATTCATTTTGGCAGTTAATCTATTTTTTTTATACTTAACACCATTCTTGATGTGTGCTTCTTCATAAAAACTTTGCCATAAGGCTGTTAGACTTTGTGTGTGTGTGTGTGTGTGTGTGTGTGTGTGAGAAAGAGAGAGATCTTTGAGATCTTTGTGTGTTTGTGTGTGCACATGTATGTGCAGATGATCACATGTGTGTACATGTGCATGGAAGTCAGAGATTAACATCAATGTCTTCCTCTGTTGCTTTTCCACATTTCAGGGGACAGGATCTCTCACTGAACCTGGAGCTCTGGATTGTTTGAACTGGGTGGCCAGAGAACCCCAGGATCCCCCTGTCCCTACCTCTAGCATATACCTTGTTTTTCCATGGATGCTGGGGATCCAAACTCAAGTTCTTATGCTTTTGTGATAAGCTGCTTAACCACTGAGCCATCTTCCCAAACCACAGAAGGTGGTTTTATAGTATTTAAGTATATGACAGCAAATTAAAAAAAAAAAACATTTAAAGACCTACCCAAGTATATGGAAAGTTAGAAAATATGTCTGTATAGTGAAAACTCATCTTATTCAGCTGACTGACTAAAAGTGAGAACTTTATCTTAAATGCAAACTGGATTGTAGGACTCATAAGGCTAAATCTTGGGGCCTCTTTGTATTTGTTGTGTGTATGCCGATTTGTCCAGAAGGTGGCAGTGTGATACCAACTGCCTTCAGCATCTCTGAATTAGAGCTGCATCTGGATGTGCTTGTATCCTTACCTTTCGGAATACTTGAAACTACAGCACAAACGCTGCTGATTTTATTTCCGTTATCTTATTTAGAGGTTTTGTGACCAAGCCGGTTTCTATGTATTTATTGTTAAGACATAAGTTTAATTAAGTTCTACAATTTTAGAAGTATAAGAGGGCTAAACAAACCTCTTACTTGTGTATTTTTGAGTTTCCTTTTGTGTTGAGTGTATTTGTTCTTATTCCAGAGTCTGTATAGTGAAGTTTTCCTTTTAAAACTCAGTACCTAGTAACTGTTGTGTACAACACACATGATCTAATATCAGTTAAACACACTTTTAAGAAGTGATAATAGGGGATTGCTGCTTGCTTTTGATTTTGTTATCCACCCCCTTTCTTTTCTGAGTGGAATGGAGGAAGAATAATTCAAAGCGGCTTGATCAGAAGGCTCCTGCGCCTCCTCTCCCCTCTTCATTTCAAGCAGAAGGATGCTTTTTCTTCTTAACATTCTCCCCCAGCACTCTGAATTAGAGATTTATTTGCAACGAAAAATCAATTAGTCCTAAATTTATTCATGGATTTCAGGTCCAGCGATCAATGCAAGTCCACTCAGTGGGCTCAAGGGGACCCAGTTCATCCCAGTTAATGTGTCTGAAGGGGAATTACCATTGATGCTGTTTTTTTCCCTCTAGGTCAGAGATCAGATCTCGCTGTCACGGACTGCAGCAAGTAGGAATGACTTCACCCTGCAGCTACCCAAACTGCACCTGGAGACCTTTGCAATGGAGGGGCTCAAGGGTGGGCCAGAGGTTGTAGCATGCCAGGTTAGCATCTAAATAACATTGTTTGCTACTGAAATGTATAGAAAACTAAATTGTACTAACTAGAAGAGAATACAAGCCTCCAAGTATTGTGAATAATTTAGATGAGATGCAAATAAATGTTTTCTAGCATGTAGCATAAAAACATGTTTCTTTCAAGCCAGAAATAGCCTATTAAAATAACGTAGAAAAGCATTTCACAAAGAAAAGTATGTGTTTATGTCAAAGTGCAATATTAAAAGAACCACTTTCCTATCAGTGGGAGATGGTAAGACATTAGGCTGCTACCTTTTCAAGCTATTCTCTATTTGTCGCTTTTGTTGTTTTAAAACAAGTTACTTCACATCAAATTTTCAGGATATCTGAAAAATTTCCATGTTAATTCTAAAATATATCCACATTTTAATTTCAGAAAAACTTAGAGCCTAGCTGCATTTTGCATTCAAGAGTCCTCTTAATATTTAGTTTTATTGAGCATTGCACTACAGTGTGCAAACTGGGCCATTTCATTTTAAAGCTCAAAATACCAAGGCATGAAACCTTGGATAGCTTTAAACTTAATTCAGGAACTTATTTCAGAATCATTCATTCTCAAATGTTGTAGCTAGCCTGTTCTGGCATGATTGCGTTTTTGTGATCATTTTCCTTAAAGTTCATGTTACATTGTAAGTTGGAAAAGATAAAATTCAGCACATGCTTTGTTTTTCCTTTAGTGCCCAAAGCCTTCATTTGAAAATATTTATTAGTATTATGTAAATTATAGGAAGCCTGATATTACAAAGGAGATTGTCCTTACTTAACAGTTCTCTATGTTGCCCAATATATTTAAAAGCAAAATGTTTTTTTTAACTCACTATTAACATTTACACGTTTAATTTTAATTTTGGACAAATGTTAGTTCATATAATCTGTATTAACTTTTGCATGCTCTACACAGTAATATAACCTGCTATTAGAGCCTGGGTCATCCTCTGCAAACAAAAATATTCATTGCTTCTTTACCATTATTTAGGACAAGATTAAATGTGTGTTTTAAATTTGATTATCAATATTTACAAATTTATTATAGACCTGAATACGATATGATGAGATTTTTTTTTTTTTTTAGTAAGTGTAAAGTAATCCTGTATTTGGCTGTCTTGATTCACTCTTACAAGGCTTAGTTCTTGTCAAAATTCACAAATAAAGATCTTTTCCCCTGAACTAGATCTTATTGATTTAAAGGAAACTTATTCTAGGAATGCTGTTTTGGGGGTAAAAGCATTAATTCTCAATGGTTCTGATATATAGAAATAGCAAGAAAGAAATGTAAGGGATTTATACTTTAACTCTTCTAACGGTTGTACGCGTTACCACATACCTAAATGCTCAGGTAAGTTTTCTGATGCTGTCCACAGGACACATTGTAGTTTAGTAATATATGGGTAGTTAGAAAGTTGGGGAGACAATCCAATTGATGATGCTGATGCCGATGTGGTGAGGATGATGGCAGCTTCCGTTTCAGTGAACTTTCCATGTACCAGACCTTGTCAACCCATTCAGTTCTCTAATGTGACTGCCAGACAAGTGGCAATCTCTCCATTTTAAAATTAGAAAACAACCACCCCAGCAGGTCATTCTCCTGAGATCAAAGTCTGGTAGGAGGTAGAACAAATGTAAGTCTCCGAGTAGCTGACTGTGAAGCTGACGTGCTCAGTCTGACGCCGAGGAGTTAAACAGCCGTGAAAGAGATGATAGTAAAACCTTGGAAACTTATCTAGTCCATTTAGAAGGTATTAACTATATATGTGTGTAGGTCATAGCTATGCTATATTGTAGACAAATTTACAGATCTAGTTTTCCACTCAATAACCAAATAAAATGAAAAATATACTTTTCAACTTTTTACAGGATAATGTATGTGTTCACTCTAACTACATCGTTTTAGGAATTCAGTATTTTAAAACTTTTTAATTGACACATAGTAATTGTGAGTACAGTATTTTCATGCATATATACAACATGTAGCCGTAGAGAACAATCAAATAAAGATAGTTAGGGGCATGTCATCACCTCAGACCTTACTGTTTGTGTTGGGAACATTCAGAATCCTTTCTTCTAGTAATTTGGAAACAACAAACTGCTAGAAACTACGTCTACCACACTGTGCAGCCGAATTCTGGCACCCACCCTCTTCACTTCTCCGGTTCAGCAGTCAGTTTTCTCTCACCACTGAAAGCATCTCATTTAACTTCCACACATGGATGAGAACATGGGGCTTTGGTTGTCTGTGCCCAGCTTACTTCATCTGTGTTGCCAGGACATTAATCCTTTCTATTTGTGGATATTATTATTGACAAGATATTACTTCATATTGATTAATAATATTCCAACATGTGTATGTGCTGCACTGTTCATCCATTTATATGTTATAGAACCCTGGGTTGATTCCATATCTTTACTTTTGTGAGTAGTGCTAGAAAAAATGAAAATACAGGTATGTTTTTAATGTACTGATGTAGAAATGCTAGCTTTTTCTCTCAATGTCTCTTTACAAAGTGGGTTGTACCAGTTTTCCAGGCCTGTGATAGCAGTGAATGGGCAGTGAATATAGAGTGGTAAGAGGTCACAGGCAGGGCCTGGTGACTTCATCCCATCCCCCTGAAACCCCCTGAGGGTGAGGGAACAACAAGGCTCATTTCACTACTGAAAGGTGTTTATCCGTTCTGTTTCAAGGGATGGTTATTTACGATCCTTTCTTCATAGTTTCTTCAAAAGCTGAAGTACTTTTTCAAGTACAGTCTACTTTAACTTCCTGTTTACTTTTTATGCCAGGTGATTTTCCAGGGAGGTCATGCCCTCCGTGAAACTTCTTGTCCAAGTGCCTATGGCAAATTAAAAACTGTGCTTTTACATTCCAATTAATAGCCTTTCAAACTTTCACTGTAATGCCAAGAAAAATTAAACCACCCAGACCAAAGCTTTAACTAAAATGGGCAGTGTGAATGCAGAGGACTTTGTAATAAAAAACATTCTGTTCACACTATGTAAAGATAATACCCATTTTTTATCTTATCACCCGAAGTATGTTTTTAAGTAATTTTAATCTGTAATTGCTGTTAATATCTAGCAGATATTGACAAGTAACCAATAAATGTTTGTATTCCTTACGGTTCAGTGATAAGCAGCAGCTGGACAGTAAGCACTCCAGGAGCTCCCGTGCGGTGTGGCTTTGCTCTGGGCAGCAGAGCGTCTTCAGAGTCTGTGACTGGCCAGTACTCTGACTGCTCCCATTTTACTCCTCTCTGACCTAGCCCCATGCCCAGGAGCAGTTGGTTCTGTTTTACAAAGGACTAAGCTGGAGTTCACTGAGATGATGTAAGGTATTAGCAGACTAGACACCTAATGATAGGGTGGTAACCAGACCATTCTGCTCTTAATCATGCCCTTTACTTTCTGCAAAGCATGGTCCACTGGCTTGTGCTTGTATTTTAAGATCACAAAGAGAGAAAAATAATGAGAGTAGGGTTTTTGTATAAAATAGTTTTGTTTGTGTAGAAACTGTGGGAAAACAGAAAACCAGAAGAGGGCTAAGTAAGTAAGTTTCATGACTTGTCTATTTTAGTCTTCATCTCTAAAGAGAAGAACAGCAGTTCCCGGCTCAGCACTGGCTGACGGTTAAATGGACTCCTCCACTCTGACTAGTGCGGAGTGACAGATACATTGTAAATACTGAATTTTGGTCAGAGCTCCCCAAGCATGCTCGCTTCAAGAATCGGGAACTCAGCCTTGTTGATGCTGCAGCCTCAGAGCTCTGAGCAGAAGAGGCTCACAGTACACATGGGTGAAGGACTTTCATGTGCTTGGCAAGGTCACTCAGGGCGAGGTTTTTGTCACAGTTGTATATGCTCCTAAGGGACTCGATGCATAATAACTATACCTCTGGAAATGTGGTATATTTCATAACTATGTATTCGTAAGAAAGTCTTCATTTGCAACCACTTATTTAGAAAGACTTTTAAACAGCACAGCCTTCCCCGTGAATGCAGTAATCATTGATCACACCTAAACCATCGTGTCATAGCAGGCCTTGCTCACACAGGGTTTGTTCTAAGCTCTACTCATGACTTCCGGGGTGCCATCCTTTTTACATTTCTATTTGTTACCAGGTCTGTCAATTTCTTTGAGCTATTTTTGTATCACTATTGATGAGTCATAAAGAACGTTCTGAAGGAAATATTTTAACTTTTTATTTGAAGAAGGATGAAATAAATACTGCCTGAGAACAGAAATACCAGCCATCACCTACAGAACATCTTTCCATGCATTGTCTTGGCATTCTCAATGCTGCAACTGTCTAATCGCTCTGCAAGAAACTTCTTCATTCTTGGCATTTCCTTGATATTTTCCTCTTATGTCATCCCATCTGCATACGTGAAATTTCAGAGAACTATTACCTTTTTAAACATGAAAATGAGTCACTTTGAGTGAAAATCTTGTTAAACATAACAAGCACTACTTTTTAAAATAAAAAAACCATATCTGATTAAAAATGTTATTACTCTGTTCATTAGTTTTATAACATATATTGTAATATTATGACAGTATCATATACCTTGGTGTATAGTGACATTTGTCTCAAATAACGTAACTTGCCATAAAACTTGCTAACATTAAAAACTGAATTTTTTTTAAAAAATTATGCATTTTGTACATGAAAGACAAAAAAATCATACCCCCAGTGAGTCTAAAAGAAAATTAAGATCACCTAAAATTTGGCATCCAGACGGCCAGAGCTAACTTTTATATATCTTTCTTGTTCTTTTTAGCCATAAATACAAGCTCATAAGAAAGTATCATTTATTTATAATGTATTTCCATATGTAAATAGTAACCAGACCACACATACTATTCTGCAAGTATTCTTTTTAACCCAGTAACACATGGTTATCTTTTTGTTTGGGCATGCCCATTTTACAAGACAACATGCTCTCCTTTCTCCCTGAGTTTCTGTGTTTTATTTC